GTCGGCAGGCGGTGCTGGGTTCCTCCGTGGAATCTGCTTGGGCTCTGGCTCTTAGGCGTTCTTCACCTTTTTGTCCTCTCCTGTTTGGGGAGTCGGCTGTGGCGCAGTTTATTCAGGCTGCGTCGGCGGCTTGTCGTCCGATGTCGGACTTGTTGGTTTTCCGGGGGTCCCGGGGTGGGTCTTCCCGGAAAGGTCGTGCCAGGGCTCGGGGTTCCTCTCGTCGTGGTAGGCCTCTGGTGTCAGGTTTGGGGTTGGCTCCTCCTGCGGACCCTCCCTCGTCTGGTCGGCGCGGTGTTCGCGCTGTGCGGGGTTCTGGGTCTCGTAAGGGTCGCCGGCCCTTTCGCGGTTTGCCCCTTTGACGGGGCGATGGGGGGGCGGCTTGCGCTGTTCGCCCGCGCCTGGTCCCACGATTCGTGGGCCTTTCGGGTCGTGTCTCGCGGCCTGCGGTGGCGTTGGGTGGCCCCTCCCCCCTTTGGGGGGTCGGGGCTGGCAGGGCAGGCTTCTTCTCCTGCGCTCTGTCGAGTCGTCTTGGAGTGGGTACGCTTGGGCGTCGTCGAAACGACGTCATCCCTCAGATGGGTTTCCCGTCTGTTTCCGGTTCCGAAACGGGACTGCGCGGACCTGCGGTTCATTCTGGACTTGTCCCGTCTGAACCCCTGGGTTCATTGCCCCTCCTTTCGGATGACTACGCTGTCTCAGGTTCGGCTCCTCTTGGAGCCGGGAGCTTGGATGGTGTCCCTGGACCTCCGGGACGCTTATTGGCATGTCCCGATTCATCCGCGGTTCAGGGACTGGCTCGGTTTTGTAGTGGGGCGTCTGAGTTACTGCTTTCGTTGTCTCCCGTTCGGGTTGAACCTGGCACCTCGCGTGTTCACACGCCTTACACGGGTTGTGGTGGCTCGTTTGCGTCTCCTAGGTGTTCGGGTGTTGGCCTACCTCGACGACTGGCTGGTTTGGGCTCCCAGCCAGTCAGCTTGCTTGCTAGCCAGGGATTTGGTTCTTTCCCAGCTCGCCGGGTTCGGGTTCTTGGTGAACTGGAGGAAGTCCCATCTGGTTCCCTCTCAGGTTCGGACTTGGCTGGGTCTCGTGTGGGACTCTCGAACCGCCTCCTTCTCTCCCTCCGGAGTCTCTCCTGCGGCTGCGGTCCCGCCTTCGTCTGTTTCTGGAGGGCCCTCGGGTCACCCGGCGGTTGTTAGAGGGGCTGTGCGGGAGCCTGAACTTCGCGATGGTGGTCTACCCGCCGGGTCGGGTTTGGCTTCGACGGCTGTTCTGGTTCCTTCGGGGTTCCCCCTTCCGCCTCTCTCGCGATCGCAGAGTTCGACCCCCGGGGGACTTGCGTCGGTTGCTGCGTCACCGGCTTCCTCTTCGGGTTTTTCGGGGTTCAGTGCCTTGGCGCCTACCCGAGCCCTCGCTCGATGTGTACACGGATGCGTCGTCTCTCGGCTGGGGTTTTGTGACCAGTGCTCACCAGGCCGGCCAGGGGCGTTGGGATCCGTCCTTCCGTCGAGCTCACAGTACGGTGCGGGAGTTCGCGGCAGTGTGGTTTGCTCTGGGGAGGATTCGGGTGGCCCGCGGATCGACGATTCGGCTCCATTCGGACTGCTCTCCGGTGGTTCATTGCCTGAACCGCGGGGGTTCGATGCGGTCCTTGTCTCTTTGGGGTTGGTCGCTTCGGGTGACTCGTCTGCTGAGTTCTCGGGGTTTGGCTCTCCTGGCGGTTCACGTACGGGGCGTGTCCAACGTCTTGGCCGACGCCCTGTCTCGCTTCGTTCCCCTCTCCACGGAGTGGACGGTCGACGACGAGTCCTTCCGTTGGCTTTGCCAGACGTTCGGGCGCCCCGAGGTGGACTTCTTCGCGTCGGTGTGGTCGCGGCGTCTTCCAGTTTATACGGCGCCCTTCCCCGATTGCGAGGCCGTCGGGGTCGATGCCTTTCGGCTCGACTGGTCGAGGTGGGGGTTCCTGTACCTCTTTCCCCCGGTTCGGCTGTTGCTCCAGGTCCTGACTCGCTTAGAGACTTACCGGGGGAGAGTTGTCCTTCTGGCCCCTTGGTGGCCGGCCCAGCCTTGGTTTCAGGCGCTGGTTGCTCGGTGTCCGAACCCGAGGGTTTTCCCGCGGCTCCGCCTCTTTCAGCAGATCGGGCCGGTACGTCACGTAGCTGGTTCGATCTTCTCCTCGAGTCTTCGCGTATGGTTTTTTTGACTCGAGTCTATCATCATCTCTATGGTGATCAGGTGGCCTCCTTGTTGGTGTCCCACCTGAGGGCTTCTTTTCGGCGGCAGTATGAAGTTTCCTGGCGGTCCTTCCGTTTCTTTTTGCGTCTTCGTCGTCTTAGCTCCTTGTCTGTTCGGGTGGTCTTGTCCTTCCTCTCGTGGTTGTTTCAGGACCGTCATCTTATGCCTAACACTGTCGCTTCGTATCGTGCGGCGCTGGCGGAGCCGCTTCAGCTTGCTTTCGGTATCGATGTTACGTCTGCGCCGTTTCGCAAGCTGTCTCGTGCATTGTTTCACCTCCGGCCTGCTCATGCGTCGCCTGAGCCGTCCTGGTCTTTGGACAGAGTGCTCGCTTTCCTTTCATCTCCTCGTTTCGTTGTGGCCCCTTCGGTCCAGGATTGTTTTTCCAAGGCACTTTTCTTGTTGGCTTTGGCCTCTGGGGGTCGGGTAGGGGAGCTTCATGCTCTCCTCCGGCGCAGGGGTTTCTGCTCTTTTGGTCGTGGTGATAGTTTTGTTCGTTTGCAGCCGTCTCCTTCTTTTCTGGCGAAGAATGAGACTGCTGCGTTCCGGAGGGGTCCATGGGTGGTTGATGCTTGGTTGGTCAGGCCGGGGGTGCATCATGTTTTGTGTCCGGTTGCGGTGCTTCGCCGTTATTTGCGCGCCACAGCTTCTGTGTCCGGGGACGCGCTGTGGGTTGATCCGGTTTCCCTTCTTCCCTGTTCGCGGGTTCGGGTCTCTCAGGTCGTCCGCAGGGTTATTAGGTCCAGCCAGCCTGCGGTCTATCCCCGTGCCCATGACGTTCATAAGTTCGCGGCTCTTGCTGCCGTCTTTGGGAATATGTCTTGGTCTGATATTCGGGCGCGGGGATTTTGGTGGTCGAACAGGGTCCTGGCTGCTCGTTACCTTGTGAATGTCCCTGGGCCTCGTCGGGCCTGTGTTGCTTTGGGTCGGCGGTTGCAGCCAGTTGTCTCGGCTTCGAGTTGAGGGGTGAGCGACGACCGCCTCCCGGGTAAGTCCCTCTTTTTCTGTGTGTGGGTAGTTAGCTCCGGGGAGCCGACGGGGCTCCCCCCAGAAAACCAGCGTTGAATGTAATGAAACGCCATTTTCTGGGTGAGTCCCGGAGGCTCCCCGGCATCCCTCCCTCCCTCCGGTCGGCGGTTTTTCGCGTTTTTGACATCCAGCCTCAAGAACTGAGGTGTGGGTAGCCGGCGCGGGGGGTCTGGGGCTCCCCCTTCCCCCTCCCGGGGAGGGGGGAGCTGCGCAGACAGCGGCGCGGCAGTGTGTGACGTCACACTAGTTTGCTTGTTTTCGGTTGGGGAGTTCTATCCACTAGTTCGGTTTTAGGTAGCAATTTTAACCAGAATAGGGGTTTGTTTTGGGGCGCTTACCTTTCTGGGTGCCTGTTCCGGTCGATGGCAGACATAGAATGCTTCCAACTACACGGGGGCTTCTATAGGCCATTGCTCCCCTTGCCTCTCTGAGGGGGCCCGGTTCTGGCCGTGGTCCCCAGTAGGCCTAAGAACTCCATACACATGACTGATGCCAAAGTCTGACATTAGCATATCAGCCTGGGATAGCTCCGGGGAGCCTCCGGGACTCACCCAGAAAATGGCGTTTCATTACATTCAACGCTGTTTTTTTTTTTTTTTTTTTTTTTTTTTTTTTTTTTTTTTTTTTTTTGTGTGTGTGTGTGTGTGTGTACTCACCTATTTGTACTCACCTATTTGTGCTTGCAGGATCAAGCATTGACTCTTGGATCCCGCCTTTCCAGCTATCGGTTGTTTACAGCAATGACTCCTGTCCCATTTCCCTATCATACCTAGTTTTAAAAGTATGAATAGTATTTGCTTCCACAACCTGTTCCCCAAGTGCATTCCATTTTTCCACTACTCTCACGCTAAAAGAAAACTTCCTAACATCTCTGTGACTCATCAGAGTTTCCAGTTTCCACCCATGTCCCCTCGTTCTGTTATTATTACGTGTGAACATTTCATCTATTTCCACTTTGTCAATTCCCCTGAGTATTTTATATGTCCCTATCATATCTCCTCTCTCCCTTCTTTTCTCTAGTGTCGTAAGGTTCAGTTCCTTCAGCTGCTCTTCATATCCCATCCCTCGTAACTCTGGGACAAGCCTCGTCGCAAACCTCTGAACCTTCTCCAGTTTCTTTATGTGTTTCTTCAAGTGGGGGCTCCATGATGGTGCGGCATACTCTAAGACTGGTCTCACGTAGGCAGTGTAAAGCGCCCTAAAAGCCTCCTCATTTAGGTTTCTGAATGAAGTTCTAATTTTCGCCAGTGTAGAGTACGCTGCTGTCGTTATCCTATTTATATGTGCCTCAGGAGTTAGATTAGGTGTCACATCCACTCCCAGGTCTCTTTCTCGAATCGTTACAGGTAGGCTGTTCCCCTTCATTGTGTACTGTCCCTTTGGTCTCCTGTCACCTGATCCCATTTCCATAACTTTACATTTACTGGTGTTAAACTCCAGTAGCCATTTCCCTGACCATCTCTGCAGCCTGTTTAAGTCCTCTTGGAGGATCCTACAATCCTCGTCTGTGTGTGTGTGTGTGTGTGTGTGTGTGTGTGTGTGTGTGTGTGTGTGTGTGTGGAGTGGATTAAACATGGGGAGTTTAGTCAAAACTCTGTAATCTTAATCCAGTCTTCTTAGGTTTTCTTTAAGATGTTTTAAATGCATATGATTTATTAAATCATTCTTTTTAGGCTGATGGTACAATTGTCAAATCTTTTGCAAATAATTATCTTTTTGTCTTTTCATAAACTGAGCAGACTGTGCGCATGAAGGCCTTAGAGTGTCTTGAGGCTCTAGCTGATCTACCAGCATCCACAGTGCTGCCTTACAGGAACGATGTAAGTATATTCATTTCTTCTTCTCTGATGTATCTTCCTATTTAAACTAATCTGCGTTATGTACTATTATGAGCCATGGTTCCTTTACCTCCATGGTAAGAGGAACACGAGGTGAACATTGGCCAGTTCACTAGTGCTTCATGATGGCAGAGAGGTTCACTCACCCGACCCCTAACATCTCTCATTCCAGCACGCACTGGTATGAGGAGTTTTAAAAGAATTTTCATTTGTTTTCGTTTGTTTTCTGGGGAGAGCCCTTATGGCTTCCCCGGAGCTATCCATGGCTGATATGGATACCTAACTATTTTACATCAATCGATGTGGGTGGAGTTCTAGGCCTACCGGGGACAACGAGCCAGAACCTGGCCCCCTCACAGAGGCACGAGGAGCAATAGCCCATAGAAATGCACATGTGATTTGGAGCATTCTATATCTGCCATCGACCGTCTGTTCTGATTAACAACGAAAATAGTCAAATGAGTGGATAGAACTCCTCAAAAGAAAAACAAGCAAACAAGCCTCGTAGGGGCCTCGTAGCCTGGTGGATAGCGAGGGGCCTCGTAGCCTGGTGGATAGCGAGGGGCCTCGTAGCCTGGTGGATAGCGAGGGGCCTCGTAGCCTGGTGGATAGCGAGGGGCCTCGTAGCCTGGTGGATAGCGCGCAGGACTCGTAATTCTGTGGCGCGGGTTCGATTCCCGCACGAGGCAGAAACAAATGGGCAAAAGTTTCTTTCACCCTAAGTGCCCCTGTTACCTAGCAGTAAATAGGTACATGGGAGTTAGTCAGCTGTCACGGGCTGCTTCCTGGGGGTGGAGGCCTGGTCGAGGACCGGGCCGCGGGGACACTAAAGCCCCGAAATCATCTCAAGATAACCTCAAGATAAGCATGACATCACACGAGCTGCGCTGCATGACTGCACAGCTAACCCCCCCCCCCCCACCTCCTCGGGAGGGAGAAGGAGGAGCCCCAGACTCTCGCGCGCGCCGGCGATCCTCACCCCAGGTCCTCGGCTGATGGGATCATGCACAGTCGTGTGACTCCAGCTCCAGTCTTCTCTCGGTAATTACCTAAGTGTAGTTACGGGATGAGAGCTACGCTCGTGGTGTCCCGTCTTCCCAGCACTCTTTGTCATATAACGCTTTGAAACAACTGACGGTCTTGGCCTCCACCACCTTCTCACCTAACTTGTTCCAACCGTCTACCACTCTGTTTGCGAAAGTGAATTTTCTTATATTTCTTCGGCATCTGTGTTTAGCTAGTTTATATCTATGACCTCTTGTTCTTAAAGTTCCAGGTCTCAAGAAATCTTCCCCATCGATTTTATCAATTCCTGTTATTATTTTGTATGTAGTGATCATATCACCTCTTTTTCTTCTGTCTTCCAGTTTTGGCATATTTAATGCCTCTAACCTCTCTTCGTAGCTCTTGCCCTTCAGTTCTGGGAGCCACTTAGTAGTATGTCTGCACCTTTTCCAGTTTGTTGATGTGCTTCTTAAGGTATGGGCACCACACAACCGCTGCATATTCTAGCTTTGGCCTAACAAAAGTCGTGAACAGTGCTGCTCTTACGGTAGTCGTGTGAGCTGGGAGTAGTATTCTCAGGTACTCGGGCTGCATGTGCTTAGGGTCACCTTCCCTGAGTGCCCTGTAAGTACCGCCCTTGGGGCTTGGGGTTGCCTTCCACAAGTCACCTTGGGTCTACCCCTGTTGGCTTTTCGCTGCTTGGCGTTTGGCCGCCCCGAGTGTGAGGGGGGTTTCCATCCTTGTGTGCCTTGAAGGAAGATTAGATTATCTTGAGATGATTTCGGGGCTTAGTGTCCCTGCAGCCCGGTCCTCGACCAGGCCTCCACCCCCAGGAAGCAGCCCGTGACAGCTGACTAACTCCCAGGTACCTATTAACTGCTAGGTAACAGGGGCATCAGGGTGAAAGAAACTCGGCCCATTGTTTCTCGCCGGCGCCTGGGATCGAACCCAGGACCACAGGATCACGCGTCCAGTGTGCTGTCCACTCAGCCACTGGCTCCCTCTCCCTCCCACCGGTAAGTGGTAGTTATTGCACTGGTGGCAATACTGCCCCGCAATACAAGAAATACTGCCAGAACACCCATGGACATCTTCAAGAGAAAACTAGACTGTTTTCTAAAAGACGTTCTGGACCAACCGGGCTGTGGTGGGTATGTGGCCCTGCGGGCTGCTCCAAGCAACAGCCTGGTGGACCAAACTCTCACAAGTCAAGTCTGGCCTCGGGCCGGGCTTGGGGAGTAGAAGAACTCCCAGAACCCCATCAACCAGGTGAGGCACGGGATACTGCGTAGCTAGTTTTCACCTTTAACAGCGGCCGGCTCTGTTCCCTCTAGGTACGTTGTCCTCTTGCGTGGTTTTTCTTTTTGTTTTTGCCTGGTGGGGGCAGGGGGGTATCTGCCTTGTGTTCTCCCACCCTCCTTATATTAGGGTCGTTTTGTGGTGGCACCCCTTGCTTTGCCCTCATGAGTGGATACGTCCCATGAGTTCAGCGTTTAGCAGTTTGCTTGGTAGTTTGGGGCGCCGGTTAGCAGTACCCTGTCTGGGATAACCCTTAGCAGACCCAGTCTAGGGGCCCTGGAAAACCCTGTGGGGGCACTCAGGTCTGATGGAGAAGACCCCTGCATCCCCTCTCGCTTTGTGCAAATTTGAGGGTTGCTCTGTCCCCTTGTCTCAGAGCAACACTCATTGTTTTTACCTCCGTCAGGCTGTCTGTTGGGTCGGTGACGCATTCGACCATGAGTCCTGCGAGCTTTGTTGCTTGTTTGTGACTCAATTCACCCAATCTGATGATGATTTTCTTCGGGTGCAGGCGGCACAGGCGTTGCAGGATAGGTTTAAGTTATTGCAACACGCTCAGGTTATCGCTTCTCCGGACACCCCAAGGATGCCCCGCTTTGGCTATAGGGACTCGAACTTGGGGATGCTGGTCACTTCGGCCATGGTTCTGTCCGCGCCCCCTTGTTCTTCCCCTTCGGTGGTTCATTCGGTCCCCCTTCCCCTTACTTCCGGCCCCTAAGTGTCTGAAGGCTTCAGGGTTGGGGATGGGTAGAGAAGTTTCCGAGACTCGGGCAGTTTCGGGGGATGCCCCGTCCGGGGTGGCTACGGAGGCATTCGAGTCTGTTCCTCCTGCCGTTGCTCTGGGGTCTGACCAGTGGGCATCTTCTCTTCTGGCTCTTTTGGCTGCCCTGGCTTTTTCTTGCGAGGCCTGAGCTTTGGTGGAAGACTCGACCCCGGGGCCTGAATTGGAGGTTCCCGGGGTTGGGGAGGAGCTGACTTGGGGGCCTCGGGCTCCATTGGACCCCGCCTGGATTTTCCGTCCTTCTGAGTGGGGCTTACTGTTGCAAGGAGTAAGGTTTTCTTTTCCCCCCTCTGATTTAGACTTGGGTACAGCTCCTCTCCGGGGTCAGTTCCGTGTCCCTGCAGATCCTTCGGTTCCGTCTTTCCGGAGGTTTTCGTCTTCCCGCATCTCGCCGCCTGAGGTGCGGTCGGCCATTGTGGCTTACCTCCTGAGCGACTCGGAGTACGCCTCCGTAATGGATACTTCTTCGTTCAGGTTTGGATCTTCATGTCCTTACTGGGTGCTTTATGAGGTTCCTGGGTCATCCTGGTTTGTAGACTGCCCCTTGTTTTCGTTGGATGTTTGGGACTCGTTGGGGGGGGGCATTTTGAGCATCTTAATGAGTGCCTTTTCGCTCCTGCCATTTTGCTGGATATTGGTGCGGTTCAGCTTCATGTGCAGGTTCTTTTCCTGTCAGCTGCACTTGTTGCTGAGCACTTACGCGCTCGTAGCTTTTTGGCTTTGGTCCAGCGTTTCTTTTCCCTCTTGAAGCTGTCTTCGGATTAGATTGCGGAGGATTTAGAGGCACTTGGAGCCGTTCCTGGGTCTGGCACCTTAGTCTCGGCTGCTCGTGCATCATCTGCCCTTTTGAAGCTGTTTGCGCCGATCCTGCGGGAGGCATTGCTGCGGTTTTTCGCTGCACGTTTCGCATGTTGACAGGTGGTTCTCGCTTCCTCCTTGGAATCCACTTGGGCCCTAGTTCTTCAGTTGTCTTCCCCTTTTTGTCCTTTGCTTTTTGGGGGGAACCCCTACGGCTCCCCGGAGCTATCCATGGCTGATATGGATACCTAACTATTTTGCATCAATCGACGTGGGTGGAGTTCTAGGCCTACCGGGGACCACGAGCCTGAACCTGGCCCCCTCACAGAGGCACGGGGAGCAATGGCCCATAGAAATGCACATGTGATTTGGAGCATTCTATATCTGCCATCGACCGGGACAGGCACCCAGAAAGGTAAGCGCCACAAAACAAACCTCTATTCTGGTTAACAACGAAAATCGACAAACGAGTGGACAGAACTCTCCAAGAAAAACGAACAAACAAGCATGACGTCACACGAGCCGTGCCACATGTCTGCGCAGCTCCCCCCCTCCCCGGGAGGGGGAAGGGGGAGCCCCAGACACCCGAGCCAGCGATCCCTGCCCCAGTTCTGAGGCTGGATATCATAATTGCAAAAAAAACGCTGACTGGAGGGCGGGAGGGTGCCAGGGAGCCTCCGGGACTCACCCAGAAAATGCCGTTTCATTACATTCAACGCTGGTTTTCTGAGGGGAGCCCCTACGGCTCCCCGGAGCTACTTCACCAAAGACTACTTAATAAAACAAGGGGACTAACCCGGGAGGCGGTCGGTGCTCCACTCCTCAACTCGAAGTCGAGACAACAGGCTGCATCCGCCGACCTCTGTCCGCAAATGACACAAAAATCAGCATGAAAATTACCTCTGCTGAAGACATTGAAAAACTACAAGCAGATGTCAACAAAGTTTTCGATTGGGCAGCAGAAAATAACATGATGTTTAACAGTGATAAATTTCAGGTACTCAGGTATGGCAAAAATGAGGATCTGAAACATAATACAGGGTACAAAACACAATCGAATCTTCCCATAGTAGAAAAACAGCATGTCAAGGATTTGGGAATAATGATGTCCGACGATCTAACGTTTAGGGAGCATAACCAAGCAAATATATCGTCAGCCAGAAAAATGATCGGATGGATTATGAGAACTTTCAAATCCAGGGATCCCATCACAATGGTTGTACTCTTCAAGTCACTTGTGCTGTCCCGTCTCGAGTACTGCTCAGTACTCACTTCCCTCTTCAGAGCAGGAGAGATTGCTGAAATAGAGGGAATACAGAGAACATATACGGCACACATAGACGAGATAAAACACCTAAATTATTGGGATCGTCTCAAAGCTCTCCAAATGTACTCTCTAGAAAGGGATGAGAGAGATACCAAATAATATACACATGGAACATACTGGAGGGTCAGGTCCCAAATCTACACAGTAAAATAACAACGTACTGGAGTGAACGATATGGAAGAAAATGCAAGATTGAACCAGTGAAGAGCAGAGGTGCCATGGGCACAATCAGAGAGCACTGTATAAACATCAGAGGTCCGCGGTTGTTAAACGTCCTCCCAGCGATTATAAGAAATATTGCCGGAACAACCGTGGACATCTTACAGAGAAAACTGGACGGTTTTCTAAGAGAAGTTCCAGATCAGCCGGGCTGTGGTGGGTACGTGGCCCTGCGGGCCGCTCCAAGCAACAGCCTGGTGGACCAGACTCTCACAAGTCGAGCCTGGCCTCGGGCCGGGCTTGGGGAGTAGAAGAACTCCCAGAACCCCATCAACCAGGTATCAACCAGACCTAAAGCAACACAGGCCCGACTGGGCCTAGCAACAGTCACAAGGGAGCGTGCAGCCAGGACCCTGTCCGACCGCCAAAAATCTCATACCCAAATATCAGCCCAAAACGTATCACCAAAGATGGCAGCTAGAGCAGCAAACTTACGAACGGCATGGGCACGGGGATAGACCGCAGGCTGGCTAGATTTAATAACCCCGCAGACTACCTGAGAGACCCGAATTCGTGAACAGGGAAGAAGGGAAACTGGATCAACCCAAAGCGCGTCCCCGGACACAGAAGCTGTGGCGCGCAGATAATAGCGGAGGGCCGCAACCAGACAAAAGTTGAACCCCGGCCTGACAACCCAAGCAACAACAACCCAAGGACCCCTCCGGAAAGCAGCAGTCACATTCTTCGCCAGAAAAAAGGGAGACGGCTGCAGACGAACAAACCTATAACCACGAAACCTATTCGGGCGCCCAGAGGTGGACCTCTTCGCGTCGGCGTGATCGAGGCGTCTTCCGATATATGTGGCGCCTTTCCCCAACTGTGAGGCTGTCGGAATCGATGCCTTTAAGCAGGACTGGTTGAGGTGGGTGTTCCAGTACCTCTTTCCCTCGGTTCAGCTGTTGCTTCGGGTCCTGGCTCGCTTGGAGACTTACCAGGGGCGAGTAGTTCTCTTGGCCCCATGGTGGCCGGCCCAGCCATGGTTTCAGGCGCTGCTTGCCCGGTGTCCGAACCTGGAGATTTTTCTGCAGCTCCGCCTCTTTCAGGAGATCGACCCGGTCCGGTACGAGACTGGTTCGCTCTTCTCCTCGAGTTTTCGCTTTTGGTATTTTTTACGTGGGTTCATCACCATCTCTATGGTGATCAGGTGGCCTCTTTGATGGTTTCTCACCTGTGGGCTTCTCGGTGGCAGTATGAAGTTTCCTGGCAGTCCTTCCATTTCTTTTTGACTCTTCGTCGTTCCTCTTTGCTTTCGGTTAGGGTGGTGGTATCCTCTCTCTTGGTTGTTCCAGGACCGTCATCTTATGCCTAATACCGTCGCCTTGTATTGTGTGACGTTGGCGGAGCCACAGCAGCTTGCTCTTGGTATCGATGTTACTTCTGCACTATTTCGCAAGCTGTCTTGTGCGTTGTTTCCCCTCCATCCTGCTCATACACCACCTGAGCCGTCCAGGTCTTTGGACAGAGTGCTCTTCTATCCACCTTCTCGGTTTGTTGCGGCCCCTTCGGTTCAGGATTGTTTTGCTAAGGCTCTTTTTTTTTTTCTGTTGGCATTAGCCTCTAGGGATTTGGTGGTGGAACTTCATGCTCTTTTCCTGCACAGAGGTTTTTGCTCTTTTGGTCGTAGTCATAGGTATGTTCGTCTGCATCCGTCTCCCTCTTTCCTGGCAAAGAATGAGACTGCTGCTTTCCGGAGAGGTCCTTGGGTTGTTGATGCTTGGTTGGTCAGGCCGGGGGTGCATCATGTTTTGTGTCCGGTTGTGGCCTGTCGACGTTATCTGCGTGCGACGGCTTATGTGTCCAGGAATGCACTTTGGGTTGATCCAATTTCTCTTCTTCCCTATTAGTGGGTTCGGGTCTCTCAGGTCGTCCGCAGGGTAATTAAGTCTAGCCAGTCTGCGGTCTATCCCTGTACCCATGACGTTCGTATGTTTGCTGCTCTTGTTGTCGTCTCTGGCAATATGTCTTGGGTTGACATTTGGGCATGGAGTTTTTGACAGTCGAACAGGATCCTGGCTGCATGCTACCTCGTGAACGTTCCTGGGCCCAGTCGGGCCTGTGTTGCTTTGGGTCGGTGTTTGCAGCCCGTTGTCTCGACTTCGAGTTGAGGAGTGGAGCACCAACCGCCTCCTGGGTAGGTCCTCTTCTTGTTTTGTCTTTAGTGAAGTAACTCGGGGAGCTGTAGGGGCTCCTCCCAGAAAACCAGCTTTGAATGTATTAAAATGCCATTTTCTGGGCGAGTCCTGGAGGCTCCCCGGCAACCATCCCTCCCTCCGGGTGCGCTTTTTCGCGTTTTTTTTTATATCCAGCCTCAAAACTGGGGTGAGGATCACCGGCGCAAGGGTCTGGGGCTCCCCCTTCCACCTCCTGGGGAGGGAGTGAGCTGCGCAGATATGCGGCGCGGCTCGTGTGACGTCATGCTTGTTTGCTCGCTTTTCTTTTGGGGGGAAGTTCTGTCCACTCGTTTGACTATTTTTGTTGTTAACCAGAATAGGTGTTTGTTTTGTGGCGCTTACCTTTCTGGGTGCCTGTTCTGGTCGATGATAGATTTAGAATGCTCCAAATCACATGAGGGGGGCCAGGTTCTGGTTCGTGGTCCCCGGTAGACCTAGAACTCCACCCACATTGGCTGATGCAAAATAGTTAGGGTATCCATATCAGCCATGGATAGTTCTAGGGAGCCTCCGGGACTCGCCCAAAAAATGGTGTTTCATTACATTCAAAGCTGGTTTTTTGAAAGGATATTGTTAATCTTTGGACTCTTTGTTTCTTTGTTTACTTTAATAAAGTGAACAACTTCATCTGGCATAATACACCCATTCTTCAGCACCTGGTGATGTATATATTTAGCATAATTTCTTAACATTTTGTTAAATCTTCTAGTTAAAATTTCTGCTACATCTTCAGTGTGCATTCCAGAATAGCTAGAGACAGCAATAGTTTCTCACTTAGCCTACCAACAATAGCTCCTCACTCATTGTACCCATAATAGCTCCTCACTCATCCTTTCTACAGTAGCTCTCTGCTCATTTTATCTACAGTAGCTCCTCATTCATAATACCAACAATAGCTGCTCACTCATCCTCCCTACAGTAGCTCCTCACTCGTACTATTTACAGTAGCTTCCCAACTTTTCATTTGGTGAATTTCCATGTACTATCACTGGAGATGTAGGGAGCCGGTCGGCCGAGCGGACAGCACACTGGACTTGTGATCCTGGGTTCGATCCCGGGCGAGAAACAATGGGCAGAGTTTCTTTCACCCTATGCCCCTGTTACCTAGCAGTAAAATAGGTACCTGGGTGTTAGTCAGCTGTCACGGGCTGCTTCCTGGGGGTGGAGGCCTGGTCGAGGACCGGGCCGCGGGGACACTAAAGCCCCGAAATCATGTCAAGATAACCTCAAGATGTGCAGTGAGCCATTTCTTCTGTAGTGATGATAAAACAACCTTTTCTCCACAGGTAATTAGAGGACTACGAGATGTGTTGAACGACAAGAAGCGTGTTGTTCGTCGTGCTGCAACCGGTGCTCGCTGCACGTGGATCCTTGTTGGTGCCCCAGGCAGTGTCGGCGCCTAGGGCACCGCCTTGTAAATTTGTTTAACATTGAATCAATATATAACTTGTTTGACATGTGAGATTTAAAAAAAAAAAACGATTGTTTTGTTACATCAAATTGTGATATCAGGATGTATAACAGCATAAAGAAGTGGTAAGAGACATAGCATATTTGCCAGCTAATAGTAGTTATAATGCAAGAAGTTCTATGTATTTACAATATATTATTCTGCATAAGAGTTATGTGTTTTTGCTTATCCCTAGTGATTTTCAGTATTGGATATTACAGGGCTTTAATAGTTGATTTTTGCTGGGTTTATGATGGTTGAATTCTATGTACAGAGACCATAAAGTAGATAGAGATAGACGAGTTAGTAGTGTATTGAGCTGAGAGGAGTGGGGGAACATAGTATCTGATTTTTTTTAAATAACCAACAGTTTTAGAGACTTATGGGAGGAGCCCTTTGATGGCTCCCTTAAGGTATCTTAAGATGTGATGGCTCCCTTAAGGTATCTTAAGATGTGATGGCTCCCTTAAGGTATCTTAAGATGTGATGGCTCCCTTAAGGTATCTTAAGATGTGATTGCTCCCCATTACTGGATCACACCTAGTTGCATGAGTCTTCTTTTGTTTACCTGTGGCTTGTGTTTGGAGACTGTGGCCCAGTCTCTGACCAGCTTCCTAGTGGCTGGTCTGATCAGTCAGGCTTTTTGATGCGGCTGTTTGCAGCCTGACGAACGAGTCACAGACTTGATGATCAGGGCTCCTTAGAAGGTGCTTGTCGAGTTCTCTTTCGAACACTGTGAGAGGTTGGACAATGTGCAATAATATTCCACCCTAGAGAGCACTAATATCTTGAAAAGTAAAAGTATCCTTGCTATCCAACCTGTCATTTTTCTTGCAGTTGTGACAGCAACTTTGTTGTGTTCTTTTAATGTAAGGTCTTTTACATTGATTACTCCTAAGTCTTTTACATTGATTACTCCTAAGTCTTTTACATTGATTACTCCTAAGTCTTTTACATTGATTACTCCTAAGTCTTTTACATTGATTACTCCTAAGTCTTTTACATTGATTACTCCTAAGTCTTTTATATTGATTACTCCTAAGTCTTTTACATTGATTACTCCTAAGTCTTTTACATTGATTACTCCCAAGTCTTTTACATTGATTACTCCTAAGTCTTTTACATTGATTACTCCCAAGTCTTTTACATTGATTACTCCTAAGTCTTTTACATTGATTTGTCTTTCAATAGTGTGGTTTGACTGTTTTATGTTGTTTTGTTTTGGTATTTTCGTTTTTTTCTTGGCACTGTAATTGGAATTTATCCTCATTAAACATTATTTTCTGAACAAATCCACAAGGGCCGTGATGAAGGTTCGAACTTACGTCCGGGATGATCCCATACTTGCCTTAGTCGTCTGGATGAACCATTTGTTCATTTGATGTATCACACTATTGTGATTTCTGTGTGTATATTATTTTCTGTTGCCCATTGAAAGCCTTTATTAACATAACTTTTATTAACAGTAAACATAACATGTTTATTAACATAACATAACTTTATTAACATCATAATAATAACATATTATAGCAGTCCCCGTCGCACAGTGGTAAGACACCCACCCGGCGCTTCGCGAGCACATTGGCTTGGGTTTGTATCCTGGCCGAAGAGGATTGACCAGGTGCCAATCCTTAATTGTAGCATTTGTTCACCCAGCAGTAAATGGGTACCTGGTTAAACAATTTAGTGGGTCGTATTCCGGGGAAAATAAAGATTAAGGACCTGCTCAAAACACTATGCGTGCTAGTTGCTTTACAAGAATGTGAGTACTTTTGTACTGCATATACTGTATAAATTAAAAAATAAACATTGGATTGGAGGTTTGCTGTAATTTTGGAGGTTTCACAAGATTTTTGTCTACTCTCGTGAAAATTCTAGCGTCATCTGCAAAGGATGATACAGTACTGCAGTTTGTATTTTTGTCTATGATATGAGATTGAGGAAAAGTATCGGAGCAAGCACGGTACCTTGAAGAACGGAATTTTTCACAGTGGATGATTCATTATTTACTTTGTTGACTATTATACTCTGGGTTCTGTTTGTTTGGAAGTTGAAGATCCATTTACTGTATCTACTTTGCCAGTACAGTAATTCCTCTTGTGCACATTGTATGTGCCATAACACCATGGTCACATTTGTCAAAAACTTTTGCAAAATCTTTTTTTTTTTTTTTTTTTTTTTTTTTTTTTTTGGCAAACATCAGCATTTTGTTTGTCTTCCATGGCATCTAAGGCCATGTCATAGTTGTCTAGCAATACTGATTTTGATGGAAAGGACCAGCAAATTGAACTTTCATGTTGAATATGAGGTAATACTATGCAAGTGCAACAGTAGAAAACAAGCCAAGTAATATAAGAGCTTGCAGTACACACACAATAGTACAGCACGCTTAGCTCCTCACTCCTGATCCTTCCCCGTCCCATCCCAAATCCTTATCCCAACCCCTTCCAAATGCTATATAGTCGTAATGGCTTGGTCTTTCTCCTGATAATTCCCTCCCTCCTAATTATACGTGACCCGACCCCGGTAAACGGTAAAGAAAGGCAATATGGCTATAAACAAATGAACTTGTGGTCACTGCAATAAATACTTCATGATCCAAACAAAGGGAATTACGTGTTATATACTGTATATAATAATGGACTACATTTTTTGTACTGAAGTGACAAATACTAAGGGTCCGAGAGAAGGCCATTTATGTCTACCCTTCCCCTCCAGTCTTCTGCTCCCCTTCGTCTTAGTTTAACTACTACAACTCTTCCGTCTTCTCTATCCACTGTGACTCACCATTCTTCTCCAGCGTTTCAATATGTCCTTCGAACTTTCCCCGACAACTCTCGGTTTGGTGCCTTCTTTTGATAATTACTTATTCTTTTTAGATATATACAAGAGTTGTTACATTCTTGTACAGCCACTAGTACGCATAGCGTTTCGGGCAAGTCCTTAATTCTATGGTCCCTGGAATACGATCCCCTGCCGCGAAGAATCGTTTTTTCATCCAAGTACACATTTTACTGTTGCGTTAAACAGAGGCTACAGTTAAGGAATTGCGCCCAGTAAATCCTCCCCGGCCAGGATACGAACCCATGACATAGCGCTCGCGGAACGCCAGGCGAGTGTCTTACCACTACACCATGGAGACTGCTTATTTACTTTCCCCGACAACTGTTCATCTCGGCCAATATCCACCCTTCTCCCAGATGTCCTTGTGTCTGCTCTCATTCTCTCTTGCCACCTGAGACTATAGACACTGTTGCACAGTACACTCCTACTGGCATGCCTGTGTCTTGCAGTCAGAAATGCAAATCTGGTTCTTTCCCTTCTTCCTTCCCAGCTGGTAAGGAAGCCCCCCACTCTTCACTTTCGACTCTGTCCCCACACCTCCTCTCATCTCAAAGACTGAGTCAGCAGACTTCTATGGGAACTCCCGGTGCTGTTCTTGATTCAAAGCTTGCTACCGCTTCCCTTGACTGCCCCTCCTCAGTGCCATCTCCCTCAACAGATCATGTAGGTTCGCCTATGCCCCTTTCCACCTCCCTCTCGACTATACTTTCTTTGCTAGATTTACCCTATGCCAGATGTGACAGGAAACACGGGCTACAAGGTGGGGTCAGCCTGTACATCAAAGACACCCTCATCTGCACAGAACTACTAAACAACACAAGCAATATGGTGGAAGTGCTAATAACCAAAATGGAAATTTCTAAATGTGATGATTATCCTTTTATATAAATCACCTGATGCAAATCCTAAGCAGTTTAAAGACTAACTTATGAAAATAGAATACTGCTTAGAAATCCTCACAAACCTTGCCCCTAACATAATCTTGCTTGGTGATTATAAAAATCTTTGAAAGCGTGCTAAGAAATAAGATTACAAATCACATGGAATCACAACATTTTATTATTTTATTTTATTTTATTTATATATATACAAGAAGGTACATTGGGTTTGAGAGTATACATTGGATAGTACAGTATTTACATTCTTGTAAATCCACTAGTACGCGCAGCGTTTCGGGCAGGTCCTTAATCTAACAGATAATTTTAAGTAGGTAATTTCAATCAGAATTGATAAATGAAAGATACATTACAAGAGAAAAATGAGATGAGAGAGATAAGTAAGTATATTAAAGCACATTGTTATATTAAAGCTCTGATTGATTACATTGACAACTTGATTAGTAATTTAAACAAGATTAATAGACACCATACAGCAGATTGACAGCACATATAAGACAGCAATGATCACAATGGTAAAGATGTTCAGAATGGGTACATAAAGATTGGGAGACTGGGTAGCAAAAGATACAGATAACAAGATTTATAAACACCATACAACGGATTGGCAGCACATATAAGAAAACAGCAATGATCTCAATGGTAAAGATGTTCAAATTGGGAACATAAAGGTTGGGAGATTGGGTAGCAATAGATACAGTGCAATTTTAAGGCAAAAAGTGAAAAACTATGAAGATGAAATTAGGTACTTTTTAGTATTGATTTTGAATGATGTAAAAGTTGGACAGCTTTTCAATTCAATAGGGAGTGAGTTCCATAAACTGGGTCCCTTTATTTGCATAGAGTGTTTACACAGATTAAGTTTAACTCTGGGGATATCGAAGAGATATTTATTTCTGGTGTGGTGATAATGGGTCCTATTACATCTGTCCAGGAAGAGTTTCAGACAAGGATTTGCATTTAAGAACAGGGTTTTGTAAATGTAGTTGACACAGGAGAATTTGTGGAGTGAGATTATGTTTAGCATGTTTAGGGAGTTAAACAAGGGGGCTGTGTGTTGTCTGAAAGCAGAATTTGATATTATTCTGATAGCAGATTTTTGCTGGGTGATGATGGACTTGAGGTGGTTTGCAGTGGTTGAACCCCATGCACAGATACCATAGTTGAGATAGGGATAGATTAGTGCATAATATAGAGAGATGAGAGCAGAGTTAGGAACATAATATCTGATTTTGGAGAGTATACTAACTGTTTTAGAGACTTTCTTAGTTATGTGTTGTATGTGGGTACTGAAGTTAAGTCTCTTGTCTAGGAATATGCCAAGAAACTTTCCATCATTTTTATTGCTAATGTTTACATTGTCAATCTGAAGCTGAATTGCATTTGTAGATTTGCTTCCAAATAGGATGTAGTAGGTCTTTTCTATGTTAA